AGAAGAGCGAGACAGCAGCTTCACGTTCACCCGACTCTTGGCAGCACATGCAGGAGCGCTCCATTTGCCATATTTTACTGCCGGAAACCTGAATAAGGATAGAAAAATATGAGAAAAATGCGATAAAAACAAGTAATTTTTAAAACACAAGAAAAAGTTTATATATTCACAAAACTAGGAGCCAAATACAGTATAACTGCGTTTTTAATTTTTCTCTATGACGTTTTTTTTAAAAGGACTTGGAAATTTCCAGGATATGATTGAATAAAAAATTTATTTAAAAGATTTGTTACATTGTAGAGCAACAATATGGGTATCGGTTAAAAGGAAAAATTCTGTGGAATTTAAAAAAGAATTAAGTTTTTGTTGCACCAGCACGAATAAATGTTGAAAATGTCCTTTTAAAACTTTATCTTTTGATATCCTTGGAAAGGACTAGAATGTTAAATATCACATCCTCGAATTCAGTCCTTCTAACTTTATTAGTTTCAGATAAAAAAATTAGACGCTTCTATTTATAAGACATTGATAGTTACAATATACATACTTGAAGATACTAGAATTATTACACTGATCAAACCAATTTTTTTTAAAGAGATTGAGTCATAGGTAAAAAATAATTTCTCCGTTTTTCGAAGTTAGCCCCCGAAGTCGAGATATGGGCCTTCGAAGTTCGAAATAGGATCTTTGGTAAAAAATTATTTTTTATTATTATATGTAATACTGTCATAGACCGCCTTTTGCTCTTATTTAAATGGTTTATAACTTTTTTTTTGTAAACTTATATTACAGGTGCTATAAGGTGGCAAATGTCGATTCTATGGAAAAATTAAAAACCTTAAATTTCAAACAATTTTTAAATGATTTTCAAAAAGCTGGTATCGTTCTAAACATGACTAGACCCCCTTCTTCTCTTCTAATATACATATTTGTATACTTTGTATGTAAAAATTTTAGAAAAAAAACATTTAAAAGGAAAAAATTCCTTTTCTTTTAAAAACAAAAATATTTTAAACAAAAATATTACTAATCGATTTTTAAAACATTGATATCGTTGTAAACACAATCAAATCTTTCTTCTTTTCTTCTGATACGCGTATTTGTATACTTCGTATATAAAAATTTGAGAAAAAAAAAACTTTAAATAAAAAAATTCCCTTTTTTATAAAAAAAAAAAATATTTTAGACAAAAAAATTACAAACCGATTTTTAAAAATTTGGTATCGTTTTAAAGGATACCAGAAACCTTATACTTTCCTTATCCCAAAAATTTCAGAGAGAAAAAATATTTAAAAAAACGTTTTCCCTCTACATAAACTCCGACCCCCTAGCTGAAGGACTGGCTGTACTGGTGCACCCAAAAACTGCTTTTTTCTACAGAATTTTTCCTTTNCAGAATTTTTCCTTATCATTGATACCCATATTGTTATTTTACAATGCACCAAATCTTTTGAATAATTTCTTTATTCAATCATATTCTAGAAATTTCAAAGTCCTTTTAAAAAAATCCTGACGTCAGAGAGAAAAACTAAAAACGAAGTTTTACTTTATTTGGCCCCAAGTTTTGTGAATATATTGATTTTTTCGTGTGTAAAATTGACTGTCGTACGATGTTATATAATTACAAATTTTATTTTATTTTTGTAGAAGTAACGCTTTTGCTTTCAATCGCGGTGCAAGTTAATAGGATTATTTATACACATTCTCATTATTTAAATTCAATTATAATGCAATATTAATTTCATTATCTTCTGTTCGTTTGAGAGTTTTTATAAAATAAGTTTTCTATTATTCGATTTTTTATGTGTCTGAGATCTAATAGGCGTTAGCACGCATCTCTGCACATTCGACTACGACGGCAACTAAAGTTTTCATTCATCATTGTATTCATGCACGCATTTAGAAAATTAACAATGAAACTTACTTGTATATAACTAGCGCAGCGTCCGACACACGCAAATGATGGTATTGGCTTTGGCACACAGCCAGGATATTGGAGCACATGTATGACAGGTGTCACCTGACAATCATCACCAATGTGTGAAATTTCTGAAAAAAAAAATTTCAAAGCTAAAACGTAGGTTCACTAAAATTTGTCTCGTATACGTATGTAGAACATCAATTTCAAATTACCATTATCACCCGATGTGGCAGCTTCATCGGCTTGCGAATAGCTCAATCTTATAAATATAAAATAAATGCAATAAAAAATAACCAACGCAACAAAACGATGATTGGAACCCGATTTGGTTCTTAGTGTTACTCCAGCAACATTGCCCCGCCTCAACTTGCTAAACATTTTCACGATTTTACACCAATATGTTGTAGATAATATCAGCCTCTGTTTTTAATTGTACGGTTACTTTCACACTAGCTGCTCCTAGTAAGATTTTTTGCGACTAAAGGCTCGCTGCACGTCCTACGCGCCGTTTTATACCCTACACCAAGAAGCAGCCGATTGGAGCTAATGGACACATTTCGTATGTTCGAAAATTATTTTCTAATGGCTGCGATTAACTGCGTACACACAAATGGAACTGACCGCTTAACTGCAATCGAATGCGTTAGCAAGCTCAATCTCACTGAGGCGCATAGCGTGTATCAGTAAAATGATTTGTGTGGCTTAATTGTAGACATGGGATTTGCATTAGTCGCTGTAAGCCGAAGGAATGAGGGCTGTCACATGTGGTGCGACNCTTAATTGTAGACATGGGATTTGCATTAGTCGCTGTAAGCCGAAGGAATGGGGGCTGTCACATGCGGTGCGACAAAAAAAAAAACGCTACATACATACATATGTATTTATGTACAATATATGTATGTACATACATATATATATGTATATACATACAATAAACTTTGAGCCTAAATATGTACATACATATGTATATGTTTTAGCAGGGTTCTACCCCAACCAAGGCGAATGAATACAAGATGGTGTACAACAAATACATAATTTTGATATTCAGACCACCGCTGCGAAAATCGCAGATGCTGTGGTAACGCCACCTTGTATGATTTCGCCTTGGAACTAACATTATCCTTAAGTGTACAAGCGTATCTTAGGTTAAAATTTTAACGTTTTTCGAAATGTGCGCGAGTAAAATCGGCGTATCCAGTTACGCACTATTAATGTATAATTTGTTAAAATTCTCTTCGTCTTATTTGGCGCTGTAAGCGCCTAAGCGATTTTGGCCGAGTTCAAAAAAACACGCCAGTCGTTTCTCTTCTGCGCCAACAGAGGCTAATTGGAAGTGCTACGTGAAGCTAAGTTCTTCTCCACTTGGTCTCTCTATCGCCGTCGAGGCCTCCCCCTTCTACTGCTACCACCAGCGGACTCCGAGTTGAATACTTTCTGAACATATCTGCGCAGCTGCAAAGGGCCCTGAAGGTTTCGTGCAATTGGTTAGATCCATGCATGAGGACCGAGTACATCTCCAAGGTTTGGAGGGTAGTCAGTGTTGCGTTCATCCCGAAGGCCGGAAAAGGTTATCATGTTTCTCCTAGTTATTTTAGGCCTATCAGTCACTTTCTTTCCGGAGCTCAAGTCAAGTAAATTCATAATCTGGAGGTTGAAGCCAACCTAATAAGCTGGCATTTGCTGTATTTGCGGAGATGTCGGCCTTGTAATTTTAATGACATCCAACAAGTGGACAGAGTCACCCTCGCTATATAGGGACCGGGCATTCCAGGTGCTTATCCGTAAATTGTAGTCCATATTCCGTGTGCAAGAATACTAATTGAATATTTTGTACCAAAAAGCTTCGTCGTCCACGCGAAATGGGTCGTAGATCTTGCAGGAGCAGATATCTCCTCGAAGATTGAAGGAATAGATAGATCGAAGAGAGATACAACCAAATTCAGGCTAAGATGGATGAGTTGGCAGGTCGTCTCCGTAATTTGCAGTTGAATCCTCCAGCTGCTTTGACGAACATTCCTAAGGTAAAGACTCCATCCTTTGACGGCACAATTCCTTTCCAGGTCTTTAGGCTGCATTTCGAGAAGACGCCTACAGCAAACCATTGGAGCATGGAGAATAAATCCGCTGCGCTGTTCGTTGCAATAAAAGGAACTGCAGCAAACTGATTATAGGTGCTGTGGAAAGGCGTTATGGTAGCGAGCACAGGAGACAGGGGATTTACCGAATGGAACTGGAGAACCGCTAACAAAAAGTCAGCGATACTCTACACAAATTCGCCTCAGAGATTGATTGGCACTTGGAGACGCATCTGGTGAGAACCTCGAAAAGGTAAAAATCCAGAGACTCATGAACGGAATATGGGACATGAACACGAAGCGATCAACATATGCGAATCCATGCTAGTATGCTCAGACACAGGAAAAGTCCGCGCTCCTAAGTATACCAGCTTACCAAGCCCATCGAGTGGAAGTGAAAACACTGGACGTGATGAATGAAATCCTGAAAGCACTCAAGTCGATGGCAATGAAAAATAGTCCTGATGCAACCGATAGAAAGGAGGCTACAACAGGTACAAAAGTTCACCTGGATGCAAACACAGGGCTGAAGAAGACGAGCCCAACTACAATCAGTCGTTAAACTCAGCAGGAAGGGGCGCACGCAGGCTCCAGCAATTAAAAATAATAATAATAGCTTGGTGCTTACACATATGTTAGTGTTTGGCCGAGCTTCTCCTCCGGTCTGCGGCGTGCGTCTTGATGTTTTCCCACAAACAGGATGTTGTCACACAATTTCACTCCGACTCCGAACGGCGATTGTAATTTTATGAGTATGTAACTGTGTTTCATGGCAGAAATTCACTCGGAGAATTGCCATTGCCTGCCGAGGGGCGATCACCGTAAAGAAAAAAATTTTCTATATTTTTTGTGATGTTGTTTTAACCAGCTCTTGAACCCAGACTGTGCGGAGTAGATGCCCGCACTGCTTACCACTACACCACAGCGGTATTATATTCGTTTTTGGTTTTAAATACTATATTATAACAATATCTAATTTCTAAAATAAAAGATTTGTTAGGTCGATTTCATAAATTTTATAATTGGGCATTTTTTCAGAATATGCGCTTTTATTTTTTATAAATCTGGACACCTTGTTTCAGACCGCAATTTGGTCGCATTTCGAACGCGAAATTGAAGAAAAGATAATGAAATGCAGGCACTGCCGAATTCCATAAGCATTGTTAGTTAAAGTCCGACCGATTTCCAATTTTCGGCCGATGCCGATTCCTTAAAAAAACTACCTGATTATAAATTCATTCAAGAACAAATGTTTTTGATACACTTTTATAATAATAAAAGAAAAACATTAAAAATAGCATAACAAAACAAATAATCATTCAAAAATTGATTCACTTATTTACGTACATATATAACTGTGTATTAAAAGTAGTATATCGCCTATGCATACATATCATTGCGATACTTTGTTCCATGGTCTTTATTTTATTCAATGTTAAGAAAGTAGTTCATTCGAAATCGCATTCCTTAGTTGTAGTCATAGTATTAAAAGTATGCAGCTTCTGCTGACTATAAAGGTGTTGTATTGAATAAAATTTGTGAATTAACAGCAACCGTAGATTTTTATTGATACAAGTATTTTTGTAACGTAAACAATTTCACAGTAAAGTGAAAAGAACTAGAAGGATTTAGGAAGTCAGCTATTAATTCAAGGATAATCGTAACAATACTTACAGTAACGACATTTTAGTATTCTTTGGCTATTTCCCTTTCGTTTATTTAATGTTTCTCATTTTTTTATGAAAGCGCAGCTTGTTATCTAACAAAAACCATGTTAGTAAAAATTTCAAACGTTTTTTTTTTACATTCTGAGTACCTATGCAATTTTTTAGCTAATTCAATTTTATTTTAATGAAGTTCAAATTTTAAGTAACTAGGCTTGCTATAGATTTTTGAAAATTTTTTTGTTCAAGGTGTTGCGGATTTTCTCCATACAAAAAACTGTTCTGACAAACGAAAAAAAAAAATCTAAAAAATTTTTTTAAACAGTCTCAAATTTTGATGAACATTTTTTAATATTGCGGAAAAAGTAAAAATTATCGGCTAAAAACCATTCAAAAGCGGCCGATGCCGATTCTTTTGGGCGATACTAGCCGATGCCGATGCCGATTAATCGGTCGGACTCTATCGTTGGTAGCTCTCATGGAAATTTGAATCGCCATATGAAAGCCAAGCATCCGTTCGGGGTTGTGGAGAAAGACAAATGAATGAAGGCGACTGAATTGTGTCGTTATTGCAGAGGACCATCGACATTTAGACAATATTTCTTTTTTTAATTTACAGATGAATTCAATATTTTTGTGTATGTGTTATAAAACTAAAAATTTTGTTGTTCTGTAACTC